GTAGTCGCATATCTAGATGACATCCTAGTTTTTTTAGTAAGACCCTACAAGAGCATGAGGGTCATCTAAGGCGGGTCTTGGGGAAGCTAAGAGAAGCTAACTTCAAGATCAATGAGAAGAAGTGTGAGTGGGCCAAAACACATGTTTTATATTTGGGCCACGTCCTAGATGGAGATGGCATTAAGCCTGAGGACAGCAAGATAGCAGCGATTAGAGATTGGTCGACTCCCCTCACGCAGACAGAGTTGTGGTCGTTTTTGGGGTTAACAAATTATTATAGAAAGTTCGTGAGGAACTTCTCCACCATCGCTGCTCCCCTTCGCAGGTTGCTAAAGAGAGAGGCAATTTGGAAGTGGGATAAGGACTGCACAACGGCCCTAAAGAAGTTAAAGTGGGCCTTGATAGAGTGCCCTGTCCTTAAGGTAGTCGACCCATCATTGCCATTCGTTGTCACCACTGATGCCAGCCAATATGGTATAGGTGTTGTTCTACAGCAGGACGATGGTAATGGATACAGACCCGTAGAGTTCATGTTTGCTAGAATGTCTCCAGAAAAGGTAGCAACATCTACCTACTAGAGGGAACTTTACGCTCTCAGGCAAGCATTAGACCACTGGAAGCACTACTTGCTTGGGAGGCACTTTAAAGTGTATTCAGACCACGAGACACTAAGGTGGCTTAAAACGCAGGTCAAGATGACACCAAAACTAACTAGGTGGGCCGCAAAGACAGATCAATATGACTTTGAGCTCAAGCCAGTCGAAGGGAAATACAATGTAATTACGGACGCTTTGAGTAGGAGATCAGACTACTTTGGAGCGATAGTGCACTACCTGGATATAGGGAGACACCTGCAACAGAGAGTCAAAGAAGCGTATGCGCAGGACCCTATCTATAGCAAGCTCCTCAAGTGAGTTAAGGAGGCACCAAAATCAGAACCAGACTACCGCACCACAGACGACTTGTTGTTTGAGAAGACTAATGTTGTTGACCCATCTATGCATTCCCAATAGTGAAGAGATCCGAAGCTTGATCTTAGGGGAATGCCATGATACAGAAGGACATTTTGGTTGGCAGAAGACATTAGCCAACCTCATGCGCGCGTATACCTGGCCTGGTATGAAGGCCGACTGCATAGAATACATACGCAAAAGTATGTCAAACGAACAAGACTACTACGCGAGCCCCTCTAGGTCTTCTTAGACCATTGCCTATCCCAAAAGGACCCGGGGATTCAGTGTCTATAGATTTCATGGACGTTGGCGTCAAGAGTAGACATGGCAAGAGTCAAGTCACGGTCGTAGTAGACAGGTTTAGCAAGTACGTCATTTTCGTTCCTTTGCCTTTTGAGGCACGCGTAGAGTTAGTGACCCGAGAGTTTTTTGACCATTGGGTCAGTGAACATGGGCTACCAATGTCTATAGTTAGTGATAGAGACACCCGATTCACTAGTCAGAATTGGCAGGAATTAGTGAAAGTCTACGGATCAAAGTTGTTAATGTTGTCTGGTCGTCATCCAGAGACAAACGGACAGACTGAACAAATGAATAAAGTCCTTCAGCAAGTTATGAGGATGTACATTAGGCCCGATCAACTGGACTGGGATGAGATGCTCCCAAAAGTAGCCAGTGCCTACAATAATAGCGTGCACTTAGCCACTTGTCGCACTCCCAACGAGCTACATAAGTCTTTTAAACCACGCAGGCCGTTTGAAGGACTTAACCGGGATCAGATCCAAAGGTTACCGCCCGGTACCAGGCAGTTTCCGATACAGCACGAGAAAGAGATAGCTAGAGTAGTTGAGAACCTCAGGAAGGCTGAGCATAGAATGATAGAACAAGCCAACAAACACCGTCGCCCTTCACAGTTCCAAGTTGGCGACCTAGTCTGGGTTAAGTCAAAAGAGTTTGCTCCTAAGGAGAACATCTCACAAAAGGGTGGAGAGGATGGACCATCCTACACGATAGAGATTCCAGCACACCTCCACACCTACCCAGTTTTCCATGCATCAAAGTTGTTACCTTGTACAACGAGTCAACAGTTTCCATCACAAAGGTCTATGATTCCTTCGGATATGGATGGGAGGTACGACATTGATGGCATAGTAGGTGAGGATGTCTTCAGAACAGGAGGTAGAGGTCGTCCACAGAAACAGTACAAAGTCAGATTCTCTTATCAAGAACCTGAAGATGACTGCTGGTTCACCAGAGCAGAGCTTCTAGAGACAGCTCCCAACATAGTCCGAGCCTATGAAAGAGACAAAAAAGGTAAAGGTCCTACCTTGGACTGACATATTCTCGGAGGACCTCGAATTTAGGCCAGCGGGAGTGAAGCGGTTTTCACCTTTGCAGAAGCAGATGCAGATTCCAGGGCTCAATCCCTAGACCTTACCTGCACCCGTGTACAGTACCGAGTAGACCCCTGTGTGTTTTGAACCCGCGACCTGTGTTTTAGTAGTGACTGTACTTGGTCATAGGTCTCTGTAGTTGTAGGGGTTCGATCTGTAGATCTGTCAAGTAGGGGTTACAGCTGTGTAGAGGTCGAAACTGCTAGGCTAGAGGTCTGTAGGTAAGTCGTAGGTCCAGATGCGTCGAGTAGGCAGTGTGACTGCATCGAGTAGGCAGTGCAACCCCGTGCAGTCAGCGGTACCGGTCCAGTCAATCGCAGTCCAGTCAAGCAAGTACCGTGTGGGACTGTGTGAACTGAGGGACTGGAGGAAAGGGGAAGACCAGCGACCAACAGAAGTATAAATCAAGAGGCAGCGTCCAGGGATGGATTCATTCGCTGCGTAAGCCATGCGGAAGCGCTGTCTCAAGCGTCTTGTTCGAGGTGGTCTGCAGAGCGCCCGAAGTCGAAGTGGGCTGGAAGAAGATAGCGCAGCCATAGTTAGTAGTAGTTGAGCGGCCATAGCCGCTGTAGGTAGGAGAGAGGCGTTAGTGTGTGAGTGTGTGATACAGTGAGTGTGTGTGGGGTATTCAGGGTGATCCAGAGTTGAGTGAGTGCGAACAGTGGTGTTGGAAACAGTATCGAGAGTTGGGATGTAGCCTGTTGAAGCAAGTTTGCGTCTGAACTGTATTCTCGATTTCCATATCTCTGAGTTTTGAGTGGGCGCTGTGCGCCAGTGTGAATCGCCATCTGTTTGCATGTATGTGAAGCGAAGAAGAAAGCGAGTCTGATTGCAACAGATGCTATGAGATTCTACACCTGCAACAATAGCAAATGGAGGGGGAGGGATGTTCAAAGGGAGTCAAGCATCAAACATAACAAAATCAATCATCCACATGGACAAAAAGGTTGGAAAATAAATGACAGGATATGGGATAATGAGGCACATACATGATTCTGGGAGATTCAACCTGTCCTACATAAGTGACAGCAAAGAAGAACTTGGTGTTGTATTCATTCATTCATTCATTCATTCATTGGGCAAAGAAGAAGTTCTCATATAAAAAATTTGTTGCATTCTGTTTGTTCGTTTCGTTTGGTTGGTTGGTTGGTTCGTTCATTCGTTCGGTTGGTCGGTCGGTCCCGCCCTGTCCAGTCCAGTCCGGTCCGTCCGTCCGTCCGTCCATTCGTCCGTCCGTCCGTCCGTTCGTTCGTTCTAGGCGGGCGGCTGCCCAGCACCATGACAACCACGATTAGTTCTCTCTCTCTCTCTCTCTCTCTCTCTCTCTCTCTCTCTCTCTCTCTCTCTCTCTCTCTCTCT